TATTTATATGAGAATCAATCCTATAGTTGATCGACTATATTTACAACATTCCCTCTCAAGTCGGAGCATAGATGTTAATCATGCTCGGTTTGTTATAGATATAATCAATCCTAGGACCCCTAAAGCTTTGGTGAAGATATCACCTAGTTGTTCTCCAGCTTTGATATCACTTGTATAGATCGATCCTTATTGAATTTTCTTATAGATAAAGTGACAATCGATCTCGATGTGCTTAGTTTTTTCATGAAAAACTCGGATTTGATATGATATGAAGAGCGACTTAATTGTCACACCATAGTTTAATAGGAAGCGAATTTTCAAGACGAATCTCATTTAACAATTGAATATCCACACAAGTTCACACGTGGATTGGGTTATAGCTCTACATTCTAATTCCGTATTAGATCGAGACACAACATTCGCTTCTTGCTTTTCCATGACATCAAATTTCCACCAACAAAGACATAATACCCTATAGTAGATCTTATATCAATTTTAGATCTAGCCTAATCTACATTCGAGAAACACTCAATACTCGTAATAGCCATGATTACTATAGAGTAAACCACGTCTTGGAATCCTTTCGAGATAACATAAGATCCGTTCTAATGTTGCCCAATGAGTAACTTAAGAAAAAGGACATAAACCGACTCACAATGCCGACAGGATATGCAATCTTAGGATGAGTTACTCGTGAGATAATTTAATTTTCCAACTAACATGCGATATCTCTCAAGATCAACAAATAACTCCCCATTATCTCGTTGTATGCTATAGATTAGTAGCTATTGGTATACTAGAAGGTTTAGCTCCTAATTTTTCAGTTTCTTTCGGTAGATCAAGAATATACTTTCGTTGAGAAAGAAAAATACCCTTCTTGGACCCAGTAACTTCAATAGCCAAGAAATACTTCAATAAACCAAAGTCTTTTGTTTGGAATTTGGTATGAAGAAGAGACTTAAGGGCTAAAATACTAGCATCATCATTATCGGTAATCACAATATCATCAACATATACAATTAACAAGATAATACCAGCTTTGATCATTGGTAGAAAACGATATGGTCACAAGTACTCCTTTTCGGACCAAATTCTTGAACTATAGCACCGAGTTACCCAAACCAAGCACAAGGACTTTGTTTTAACCTATACAAAGACCTCCAAAGTTTACGAGACTTTCCTATACTCCCCCGAGCAACAAACCCGGATGGTTGTTCCATATAGACTTCGTCCCGTAAATCATCATAAAGGAAAGCATTCTTGACATCTAACCGATGTAAGAGCCAACCATTAGTAGTAGCAAAAGAGATAAACAAATGGATAAATGCAAGTTTGGCAACTGGAGAAAAAGTATCGAATAATCTACACCATACGTCCGAGCATATCCCTTTGCAACTAATCGAGCTTTGAGATGAGCCACAAAACTCGTTAGGATTAACCTCGATAACATACACCCATTTACAACCAATAGCTCGTTTACCTTTTAGGAGATGCACTAATTCCCAAGTACTATTGTCATCTAAAGCCATCATTTCCTCCTCCATAGCGATCCGCCAACCGGGATGGGATAAGGCCTTATGCAATGTTTTAGGTACGTAAATTGAATCTAACGAAGCAATAAAACAACATAAAGAAGGAGATAAGTGGTCATAAGAAGTAAATAAAAAGATAGGATGAGAATAATGTCGTTTACCTTTACGAAGAGCAATGGGAAGATCAAGACTAGGATCCATAGAGGGAAGAGCTAGCAGAGGAAGTGAGTCTTGATTTGGTTGTAGATCTCGTGGGTGAGTACGATAAGAGTAAACTTGGGTGATAGGTGGCTTAATGGGTATATGAGATTCGGTAGTTATTATCCCGAGTATATATTAAAATATCATCTTCCTCCCCCTTACAATTATATGTAGTAGATTCATGAAAAAATAGAGTAGTCTAAAAAATTTTTACATCGACTCGAAATCAAATAACGACCCAAAGTAGGAGAATAACACCCGTAACCTTTTTGAAGATGAGAATATCTCAAAAAGACATATTTGAGAGATTTTGGATCTAACTTAAACACTTGGAGACTAATATCATGAACAAAACATGTACAACCAAAAACACGTGGTTCGATTGGAAATAAAGACTAAGAAGGGAATAAAACAAAATGAGGAGTATCATCGAAAGAACATAAGAGGGTAACCGATTGATTAAGAAACATGCCGTATACACAGCATCGGCCCAAATTTGTTTAGGAACTTTCATCTAAAAAAGAAAGGCTCTAGCAACCTCTAGTAAATGTCTATTTTTTCGTTCAATAACACCATTTTGAGGTGGTGTGTCGGTATATGATAATTCATGAAGAATTCTATTTTATGTTATATAGGTATTGAATGACTCGGAGAAATACTCTTTCACATTATCACTTCTCAAAACATGTATCGAAACATTAAATTGAGTTTGAATTTTAGAACAAAAAGCACAAAATATAGAGAATAATTCAAATCAATTTTTTATTAAATATAACCAAGTAACATGAGAATAGTCATCAATAAATGTGATAAAATATCGAAAACCAATTGTAGAAGTCATTGAATAAAGACTCTAAACATCGAAATGAACTAACTCAAAGGGTGACATAACCCGTTTATTGACTCTAGGAAAATATAACACACGATGATGTTTAGCAAACCGATATGACTCACATTCTAAAGCGGATAAATTCTAAAACCGAGGAAATAATTTCTTTAAAACATATAAAGAAGGATACCCTAACGACAATGCAACTCAAGAGTTGTTATAATACTAGAACAAGTAATACGTTATAGTATAGGTTAAAGATGATAAATCACTCTAGACTCACGTCCTCTATCAATAATCTTCCTCGACGTAAAATCATTAAATAGACAATAGTTAGGAAAAAATAAGACAAAACAATTGAGAGTTAGAGTGATTTTGTTGATCGACGATAGATTAAATGAAAAATTAGATAAATATAAGACAAATGATAAAGAAAAAGATGATGTAGGAAGTGGTCGTTTCAATTCCTATAATAAATGTGGTTGACCCATCAACTAGAGTTACATAAGGAAGATTTTTATGTGAAACAAAGGAGGAGAGAACATCTTTATTACCTATCATATGATCCATAACACCAAAATCAATGACCCATTTGGAAGAGGATGATACAAACATGTAAGTAGGTTTACTCGTCCCATCACCGATAGCTAGAGGTGGATTGGAAGACTTTAGTGAGGATTGATACCGAGTAACCGAGCAAAGCCATCAACGGACACCATTATAGACTTTTCGGATGAGGAAGAGGCGGGATTAGCCTCTTGGGTTGCAAGGTTTGCAATATGAACTACCTTTTGGGTTTTTTCATGAAGTTTCCAATATGCACGTCTTATATGCTAAGCTCTCCAAAAAAATAACATGTTATTGGGCTATTTTGATCATTTTGTCCGCGATCGCCATTTCCTCTATAAGTATCATTACTACCACCTCGAAAACCAATATTATTTTGGCCAACTTTACCACTTCGACCTTCTCGACCTCCCACATTCCGACTACCTCGGCTCACAAGGGCACTAGTAATATTAGGAGAACGTTGAGATGTCTCTATACGTAAGATTTTAGTGAAGGTGTCATAAAAAGAGACAACTTCGGACTAGAAAGGATTTGTGTGAGAGCAACATCAAATTCGGGTGGTAAGCTTGCAAGAAAACTCATGATAGCCATTTGCTCACATTGAGATTGTTGGGTCTTCACATTTGTACCAAAAGGAAAGAGAGAATTCAATTCCTCATAAATCCGTTTGAAATTCATGAAATATTCGGTAAGGGTTCTATTTTGCTTTTCCGGATGATAGAACTCTTTACATGAATCATAAATATGGGAAAGATTACCCTTACCAAAATATAAAAATGCTAGATAATCTATAAGATCTTTACCTTTACTCGAATATGACAATATGTTTTGTCTTATTGAAGTGCATAAGTACAACAATTAACATGTTTTTTAAAATTTTGTATTTACACTATTATAGGTTTTTGTTGAAGAATGAATGCATAACGAAAAATGAATTGTGTTTTTTAATTAAAAAATTTATGAAAAACATGAAGAAGAATAAATGAAATACAAAATTTTAATTAAATATTGGGTTGAGGTGGGCCTCATGGTTCTCTCGATTCTCATGTCGATCATGGCTTGCTCCTAGGGTTTTGATAGAATCCAATAGTTATGACTCGTTGGATTATGACTTTTAGAATCCAATAGTTATAACTCGTCGAATTCAATAGTTATGACTCGCTAGAATTGAACCGTTAATCGGTTAATTTCAATAGTCACGTATGTTCCGAAAGTGTCTCGGTAATTTATAAATAGAAGACTACTACATAGGATAAAATCAATTTATTTTCTCTAAAATCCTCCTTTTTTCTCAAAACTCTTTTTCTTTTGAAACTCTACAACTTCAAGAGATATTTTCTTGAAGTAATTTCGAGAGTGCTCGCCTACAATTCTTTGTGTGCATAAATTTATCCTAAAGGTGAATTGCTAAAGTCCATACATCATTATAGTGAGAGCAATAATGACCTTAAAGACAAGTGTGATGTATTTTCTATACGTAATTAAGCATTACGTAATTACGTTTTTCTTCAAGATCATTTCGAGATTTTCAATAACCAATATGCTCTATTTTGGTAGCTTTTTGTATATAGACTATTATGGAAGTAAGATCTTTTAACAATTTTTATATTGTGAGATTCGAATATGCCTTGTCGAAGTTTCCTAAAAACTCATTGATATAACAATCACAATCTATTATTGTATTTAAGTTTTCCGTATCAAACAAACGTTGAAATATATTTTTTAATAATTTTTTTATGTAATTATTTTTTAAAAATTAACTTCTTCAAAATTGTTGTTATTATTGAAAATAATTTTGTGGTCAAGGATTTGATGCAAAACCATACGGAACATTAGGAATTCAGAGTCGTATTGTTGTGGGGGCCGGAATGTATGGAGTCGTATTCCGTAAAGACATCCTCCAAATCTTGACAAGTGGAAAACATTGGGGGGCCAGAGTCATCATTCCCTTAAATTCGATAATGGACAAAACTTATGTAGACTTTAACTCTAAACAACCCATCCTCCGCGTCTCCCTTAAAATTCGGAAATGCCCTTTACCTTTTGCCATTTGGACTTTTCTTCGAGTAAAAAAAAAAATTATTTATTTTTTAAAACAATTAATTAATTTTATATTTATTTTGAAAACATAGTTTTATATTTATAGGAAAAGCTAATCTAATTTATTTTCAAAACATACAAAAACCCACGGGAATATTTGCTTGTTAGCTCCAAAAATTAGATGAGTAAAGGAACCAACAGACATCTATCCGCTCATGATCTGTTTTTGAGCAACTCCAAGCATATCCATGTCCGGTTCTATTGCCGAGTGAAAGTTGGTTGCATACGCAGTCTGTGAAAGTGAGCCAAAGGTACGAGAGAACAACACTAAAGGAAACAATGCGCAGCTGGCCAGCCCAACCAATGTGCAGAACTACTAACTTCTCTTATCTGTCCACGTTATTTACCCTATCCACCCAACCATCCCTAACTCTGGGCCTCACTCGTGAGCATAATTTGGTTTTAACTCAAAAATTGAATCGAACCAAAATATCTATTTGAGTTTGGTTTTATTAGTTTAAACCGAAAACCGAAACTATATAAAAAAATTAAATCAAATAAATAAAAATAACTTACAGTCTCCCAGAATATTCCGGGCATCTACAGCAGCTCTAACACAGATCTCTAGAGCCATTATTTCTTTTTGGGAGAAATTGCAGTAAAAAAGTTTACGGGGAAGGGAAGAGAGTGGGGAATGTAGCAGGTGCTGAGTGACTGATGGTGTGGTTGTGTATTAACCATGTGATTTTGATGGGTGCTGGACCAGCGGGCCGGTGAGATATGGGCATTATCCACAACAGGAAAGTCATACTTTGTGGGGTCGAGGATGAAGTTGGTATCTTGTGGTTTTGGAAGACATGTTAAACGTGAGTCATTATAAAAGGTTGTCGTTTGATCCTGAAACTTGTTTCCATCCTACTGAAGCTAAATTTTTTTCCGAACCAATTTCGAACATATAATCTAATATTCTTTTATAACCACAAAATGAAAGGCTTCTTATTAGAGTTCCAACGGGCCAAAGCAAAATCAAAATTAAAAAAAAAAGAAGCAAATTCTGTTTAAACCGAATTAATTATAACCAAAACGGAAATATCAAATTTTTTCTGATTCAGATACCAATTATTATTTCTTCTAATCCCATTAATTCAAAACCAAACCAAACTAGTACAAAACTGAATAGTTTTACCATTTGCTAACTGACAATTTCTTACTGCACCAGTAATTACTGAGCACCTCTGCCTTTCCACGTCTATTCGCACAGTGAGTAATTATTATTTTTTGACCGACAGATATGAATCCAATTTAATGTTCCTTAAACCATTCCTGAAAAAAAGACATACTGAAAAAATAATATGGTTTTCTTTGCAAAAGTAAATTAAAAAAAAAAGTGATCGGTGAGGTTCAGATATTATGTCATCTATATCGAGCACGAGGCTAGACATGTGATATGCTGATATCATGTGCAGTATTATGAGAATTCAGCCATTTCTAATTTAAAATTTGCCATAGAACTACGAAACTCTTTCTTTCCTGAGATAGCAGTTATAGTCTATAGAGATGTCAAACACAAGGATGGGTGCTGCTTTTCCCTTGTCAGAGGATCAAAATGGCAAGGGAAGGTAATGGAGGTGGATCAAAGTGCTGGATGTCGCAGAGGCAAAGGGCCAAGTCTTGTTTTCACTGCCCATGATCCTTACTAATGCTTTCTACTACTTAATAACTTTGGTGTCTGTCATGTTTGCTGGTCACCTTGGTCAGCTTGAACTTGCTGGCTCCGCTCTTGGGAATTCATGGTGTACTGTCACCGGCATTGCTTTTATGGTACCTCTCTAGCAATGGCAGGATTGTAGAACAATTGATTTGCATCTATAATTTGAAACGAGTTCTTTTTTCTGCTATCGAAAAGAAGAACAATGTTTTAGTCCATATGGGTCTAACGCTTGTGTAAACCCTTTTCGATTTGTCACGTATAATGCTATGATTCTGCTTTTTAATTTTCTTTTTTCATTTTCCAGACTGGGTTAAGTGGAGCACTTGAGACGCTTTGTGGTCAAGGATTTGGTGCAAAACTGTACAGAACATTAGGAATTCATCTACAAGCGTCCTGCATCATATCCTTTCTGTGCTCTATGATCATAAGCATTAGCTGGCTTTACACCGAGCCTTTACTCATCTTCCTCGGTCAAGATCCTCAAATCTCTAAAACTGCTGCTATTTACTTAAAGTACTCTATTCCAGGCTTGTTCGCATTTGGGTTCGTGCAAAACATCTTGAGGTTTCTTCAGGCACAATCTGTTGTGATGCCCCTCGTCCTGCTTTCAGGAATCCCAATGTGCATTCACGTTGGTGTGGCTTATGCATTGGTTCATAAGACAGCTCTTGGTTTCAAAGGAGCTTCACTGGCGGCTTCAGTGTCATTGTGGATATCAGCAATTGTGTTGGTCATATATGTGATTTATTCAAAGAAATTTAAACAAACGTGGGAGGGGTTTTCATCTGAATCATTACACCACATCCCAATAAACTTGAAACTAGCCCTGTCTTCTGCTGCAATGGTGTGGTAAGAAAACCCATAAATGTTTCATTATCTAGGTAATACGTTTTTGATCTGATAGATTTTACAACTTCAGTTTGATGATTTGCTAGTTTGGAGTACTGGGCCTTCGAGCTTTTGGTGCTCATAGCAGGAATGATGCCGAACGCTGAGCTAACTACGTCAGTGATTGCAATATGGTATGCTTTTCTCCTCAATACTATAAATTTGTGCCAAAGTGTGACTGTTCTGCACTTGTTTTTCTTACTTTGGTAATGTTTTTGTTTGTCCTCAGTGTGAATACACAAGACATTGCCTACATGTGTACCTCTGGTCTAAGTGCTACTGTGAGGTAAATGGTTGAAATTAATATTACATATACTTTCTTGTACACTTTTTGTTATTAAAACTATAAATTTCTTCTGGTAGCACAAGGGTGTCTAATGAGTTGGGAGCAGGAAATCCTGATAAAGCTAAGCATGCCATGGCCATGACTCTCAAACTCTCTGTTCTTCTTGCTCTTCTGATTGTTTTATCCCTGGCAATTGGTCATGATGTCTGGGCTGGCTTCTTCAGTGATGACCTTTCCATTATAAAAGCCTTTGCCTCGATGACACCTTTCCTTGCTATCTCTATCGCACTTGATGCTTTCCAAGTTGTGGTTTCAGGTTTCAAGGATCCTACTTTCGTACTTCTTTTATCTAATATTTTTAATCTTTTTCTCACGATTGCTAATTTATATGCCTTGTTCTGATCTTAATGGATGTATTTTAATTTGATGCAGGGGTAACAAGAGGGTGTGGGTGGCAGAATCTGGCTGTTATTGTAAATGTAGCAACATTCTATTGCATTGGAATGCCGATTGCAACTATCCTCGGATTTAAGTTTAAGCTTTATTCTAAGGTGAAACAAAACTTATACTTCTTTACTTTTAGACTTTAAGCCTTCTAAGACAGCAGTTTTCACCTTGTAACTCATCTTAATTATTTTCAATCTTTATCTGCTTTATTTTCGTATTTTTGCTTGTGGTTTTTTTGGATCAGGGATTATGGATTGGTTTAATCTGCGGTCTCTCATGCCAAACCTGCGCTCTGTTGTTGATTATACTGCGTTCAAAATGGACTAAAATGGATCTATCAGAGCCACGGGATGATGGTAAGGAAAATTCAAACTTGCCTTGACAACATCTCAGCAGTATGCTCTTAATGAAGAGAAACATGTTAAAGAAACTGGAAAGACGAATTCGACTTCGATTTTCATATTATCTTCTTAATAAATATTTGGCGATTATCAATGCCAAGGGTGCCAATTTTGACAAGGAAAAGAGGAAAGAAACCATTGGGCACTCACCATCTTTGAGCTAGCTAGAAACAAATGAGGGCTGTTCTTCTTACAATGTTTTTGATTGGAAATGAAGGCTGCTCTTTGCTATCCCTTCATTAGATATCAAAGTTTGCTGTAAATTTCGTGCCATCAACATTGAATCTAATTATTAGAAAATACTTTAGTTTAAATAAAATTTGAGTCATATTTATTTGTGTAAAAATTAATGGCACCATAATGGGATCAATAATGCAGGAGCATGCTTATTGTAACCAAAAAAAAAAAAAAAAAAAAAAAAAAAAGAAAAAAGAAAAAAAGAAAAAGAATTACATGAAAAAATGAAGATGGAATAAATGGTGCTAATCAAGGATTAAGAAATCTGAAACTGTTAATAACTGGCTCAGATTTCAGGATTATTTTCACAGGCAAACCAAATTAATTTTGGGCAAAACACTACGCAATCCATACACTTTGACGACGCTTCTTGTTTCTAGTTTCCAATGCTTCAAACGGTGGGTGAATTGGAGCATTCTAGTGGGAATTATTGGCGTTATGGATGCTAGTGCTCAGGCTACAGAAACAGAATTCAGCAGAACCTAAAAACCTATTGCCAAAATTTTGCTACCTGCAAGACTGTCGTCTTAACAATCATCATATGAGGGAACCAGAATATCTTCAACATACTTGGTTTGAGAAAGAGGAAGACCCTTTGCATTCCATATAACACCCAGGACCTAAATAAGTGAGAATATTATTATTGTCTCATAGTAAATGTCAGATACAAAGCATTGTGTCCTTTCTATGATGTTATTAAGTATGGTTTATGCTGCATAAGCCTATTAAATACTTAATAGGTCCAACTTTCCTTTTAAATTTTAGCTTAAAATGCATCTTTAAATTTACTCATTTTAATATTTTATTTTAATAACTTAGATTGAAATAACTAAATTTGTATATCTCGATTTTGTCAAATTCTTTTTCTATAAGCCATAATAAATTTATCTAATTGATACTCATTATTCGATTGTCTAGCCTTTTTCCTTTATTATATAACGTATTTTATAAAATTTCTTGACTACTTGTATCATTATTATCAAATAGTAGTGTGCAGGAAACAAACCGATAGAAACTAAAACTACACATTATTATGTTGTTGCATATTTAAAATGTTCAAAATTTTGTTCTCTATAACCTATATATTTTTTACATGACATCTATTTCAATATCACAATACTACCAAAAAGTGATTTATTTATTCGAAGTTTGTTTCCCCTTTTACTAACTAACCATTTACCTATTCACTATCTTGAGTATCATATAAAATAAAGTAGTCATACTCAATATATAAACCAGAATACAAGACAAGTAATACAATGATATGAAGTAGGTCCAGACTTGCAATTGCGGGTAAGATACACTTGTCGACAAAGATGTTGGAGTCCCCTCGGTAACAAGCTCCATGGAAAACATAGCCATTACTCTATACTCTTCACCCCTACATTACAAGAACTGTGTGAGCGATTACTTAGTAAGTTAATCATGCATGTCATGTATATATGCAAGTGAAATGCACTTTGAAATCCTTGTCATATTCCTTTTTGAAATCATTTTCCTTTCCATGAAATCCATGTCAAGTTCATTCTAAAAAAAAATCTTTTATGTCTTCGAACATACCCTGCTAAACATCTAAACATACATGTCTACACATGCTTGGCCCCTAATTCCCTAAGCACTTCTCCTATGGGGCCATTACCAATTCCCCCACGATTGAAGCCATTACCAATTCCCTCGACGAGAAAAAGCTAGAGCCATTACCAATTTCTCCAAAGAAGAAATTCTTCGACCAAGGCCATTACCAATTCCCTCGGTGAAGGAAATGTTAGGGACTCGAAAAACCATGAAAACCTTTCCTTTGTCTTTGAAAAATCATGAAAAAATACATTTTCATGATTTTAAATCTTTCCATGATCTTGACATGTGTATGCATTTAAATATTGATGCATGACCTCATGAATTAATATAATTCATGCCATGAATGAGTATGCATTTATGCAATAGAATTGCATACCTCAATGAAATGAAAAGCACATAAACATTCATTACCTTTCTATGTATCACATTCTAATCAAGGTATACAATTCAATCACGACAAGCGGTTAACACGGGTTATCATGTAACATCACATTCACCATTCAAGTGACAAGGCATTGTACCAATTCATTCATCCATGCCATAATTTTCATAAATGCCACAAACACTTAATTGCATATTTTGAACACATGCATTACAATTAATCCATCATGAAACGACTAATTGCAACATGTAAATCATTTGTCCATCGCAATACACAAATCAACCTTCTAACCATAATTTTCCTACCTTAGGTCGAATGTGCATCTAATTTGATATAGGTGGATTATTCAATTTTAATGCTAATTTTCATGCTAAATCATCTTAATATACTTCAATAACATATAATAAATCAATTAAACATAAATAGGCCAATTGCATTACAAACCTTAATTTTCACTAAAAACCTTAATATACTTCAATAACGTGTAATAAATCAATTAAACATAAATAGGTCAATTACACTAAAAATCTTAATTTTCACTATTTAGGCCGAATGTATGCTTAAGTGAAACTATGTGTATTTTTTAATTTTAAAATCAATTCTCACACTAAATCATCTAATTGCAATACAATAACATCTTTTCAATCAATTAAACATTAATAAAACAAAAACACAATAAACCCAAAATTCTACTAGTTAGGCCAAAAGTTTCTCTTGGATAAGCTAGGTAGTTTTTCATTTTTCCTACTTATTTTCATGCTCGATTAGTATATTCAAACTTCAATTTCATCAATTATAACCTTTAATCCATTTCCCTCAATTTTACAACTCTAACCCTAATTTATGAAATTAATTCAATCAAAATTAAATTAAAAGTGCAAAACTAATAATTCAAACCAAATAACATGTTCTTGTGATGTAGGTGAGATTAATTAATCCTTTTTAGGTTGATTTTTCTTTCCCTCATTTCTTCCTCTAAGTTTCGGGCCAAATACTAAATTTTTCCTCCTTGGTATTCTTGATCTTCCACTTATAATTCCAATCTCAATTAGGTGATTTAAGGGTGTTTTTAGTGTCGGATGGAATTGGCTTATGATTTCCTAGGAAATTTTTGCAAGAGTTTGCCCATTCTTTTTAAAAAATTTTTCCAACCATTTTTCTTCCTCCTTTATGCCGAATTTATAGGTGATCTTGGGTGGACTTTTGTTTGTTTTGACTTGATCTCCATCCTTTATTTGGTTTAATCTCCACCCTTTATTCATCTTTTAATCCTAGCCTCGTCATTTGGTTAAATCTCCACTATCTATCGTTCTTTTAATCCTAACCTTTGATCACTTCAATCCTATCCTTCCAGTTAGTAAGTCAAATAATTGCATTCATCTATTAAAGGTGAGAGGTGGCAGGTTAAGGTGGAAAGATTTATCCAAGAATGTTTATTTTAGTCCCTTGATTTATTATATATTTTTAATTAAATCCCTACCTTTAGCCCCTTCAATTTTAATTGACTACTTTTGGTCATTTTATAAAGCTTTTTCAACATCTTTATGCCTCCTTAAATTTATTTCAAAACTTATTTGAGGGCTAAATCTTTTAATTTTATGTAATTAGATCCCTAATTTTATGCAATTAGGTCCCTAATCTTATGTAATTAAATTCCTATGCACATAATTAATTCAATGAACTTTCAAAAAATAATCTCTTTTCACAATAAATTCTTGCACTCTCTATGGTAATTTATTCATTAATCACATAATTTTTATGCACCTATCTAAGCACTCAAAATAATTAATTTGCATAAAAATATACTATTCACACACCAAAAAGATAATAAAATATTCATCAAGTATAGAAAAATTCACTTAAGGACATTGAATATTCTAGCATCCCTCTAGCAATTATTCTATGCTTACGGAATAATTTTCACACACATTTAAAATATATTAATTCATTTATTTGTAGGTTCGAGATATTACACCCTTCCTTCCTTATAAAAATTTTATCTTCAAAATTTCTAACTAAATAACTTGGGATATCTAGTTTGCATTTCGCCTTTCTTTCCTATGTTGCTTCCTCAATATTTTGGTTCCTCCATATTATTTTTACCAAGGAAACCTCTTTGTTTCATAATTGCTTGACCTCTCGGTCCAATACTTGTACCGATCCTTCTTTATAACTCATGTCGGATCTGGAGGTCTAGTGGCTTACTTGTTTAGTTTATGGGTTGGGTTTTTGATATATTTTCTAAGCATAGATATGTGAAATACATCATGAATTGAGGAGAGAGACGGAGGTATCGCTAACTTGTATGCTTTATCGCTAATTCTCTCTAGGATTTCATATGGTCTAATATATCTCGAACTTAATTTTCTTTTTTCTACCAAACTTTATCACACCCTTCATTGGAGCCTTTTTCAAAAACACCTTATCACCGACCTAATTCTAACTCTTTTCTACTTACATATGCATAACGTTTACGTCAACTATGCACTCGTTTTCATTCTTTCTCTAATTTGTTGCACTACGTTAGCTATCTGCTGGATTAACTCCGGTTCCAACAATTTTCTTTCTTCCACATCATCCTAGTGCATTGACAATCAACACTTCCTTCCATATAAAGTTTTGTATGGTGCTATATTAATACTTGCTTGATAACTATTATTGTAGGTAAATTCAGCTAATGATAGGTATCTTTTCCAACTTATGGACCGAGTCCAACACACAAGCTCGTAACATATCTTCCGAGTATTTGTTTCACACTTTTTGTCCGTTCGTCACTTTGTGGAT